TTAATGCATTTTACGCTCAGTCATTTTTCACCTTGCCTCAATTTCTTTCAAGCCCTGCAATGTTAAATGGATTTTGGTTTGTTCACTGAGGTGGTCCATAGGTTAAATACCTGCAGCTGCAGACCACACCATGCAGGTCAGACCCTTGATGTAAACGTGTAGACAGATGTTTGGATGCTCTCCATCATTAAGCTTTTTCTTTCCAACTATTCTGGCATTTCATTTTTTATACTTAGCTCTCTGCATGATGTAGGTCTTTCCATGCCACCTTCTCTGTTGAAATTATATATGAACTTGTATGAACTTACATTTTAGCTGTTTGCTGTTTCTGTGAAGATATAAATATGATAACAATAGTTATATTATCAAAGATTTGCAATACTTCTGAAAATAAACTACCAGGTGTTGTTATTCCTGGTTGCATGAATAGCTACGCATATGCAGTGATTGCTAGTTTTATCAGCTTGTTAACACAATGGGGTTGATTTACTAAAGGCAAACAGGCTGTTTCTGTTGCAAGAGAATTTCCCCTTAGCTTAGTGAATAAGATGAAGCTCTACTGATTTCCATCATCCAATCATGTGCAAGTAGAAATACTGTTTTTTTTTTTCTTGCATATGATTGGGTATGCTTTGCATTTGATTATTCACTGGCAAAATGTAGGTCTTCAGAACATTCAACATGTTTATAACATGGCTAATGTTATATTCACTATGTTAATTCTTGTGTACACCACAGTAAATTAGAATTTTAAGCCTGAAAACCTAATTTAAATTGACTGGTGATTGGTCCCTGCTGGTATATGGAATGTGAGTCTTCAGGGCCCGTGGCTGGCAAATATTTTATTTCTTAAAACATATTCTCTCTGGTCCTCCAATTTCAACCGCTACCGCACACAAGGGGCAACGTGGCAGAGACATACTAAGCATTGAGGGTATACTTCCTGGGACCTGCTGTTTCTGAGTGCTGTTCCTAGGGAAATGTTATGAACCTGGGCATTCTATCAGCAACATGCTGTGTACATGGGTCACTCTGGCAGAGATAAGCTGAACATACTGAGTATTTCAACATAGGCATGCTGAGCACTTTTGGACACCGTGTCAGGGACATTCTAAATACATTAGGCATTCTACTAGAGACATGCTGAGCACAAGGGACTCTTTGGCACATGCATGGTGAGCAAAGGAATCACAGATATGCTGACCACATTGAACACCCTGCCAGGAGTATGTTGGCCGCATGGGATGCTATGCCAGGGACATGCAGGCATGCTAAGCTTATTTAAAACTGACAGGGATATGATAAATGCATGAGATACTCGTAAGATGAGATGCCAGAAACATAATGGACACTTTGCTGGCCACCCTGGACACTCTGCTAGGGACATGGTAGGAGCAGGTTAAACACAAGAAAATACATTGCCAGGGACATGCTGAGAACATGGGATTCTCTGGCAGGAACATTTTAATCACATGGCATTCATTCCCAGGTATAGGATGAACATGTTAAGCATTGTGCTAGGAAAATGCTGACACTGGGGACCCATTGCAATAATCTTCTTTTTTTTTTTTTTTTTTTTTTCTGCACAAGAACAGTCTGGTCAGGGATATTCTGACCACATTAGGAAATCTACCAAAGGCATACTAAGCATTTGGTATTCTGTGCTAGGGTCGTGCTGGCTCTGCACTGTCCAAAGGATATGCTGAAAATACAGATGACATGCTGTGTGTGCCTACATTGCTAAATGTAGTGTCTTTTGTGTTCCCACATAAGGACCAGTTTAATAAGACAGATGGGTTATTTTAAATCTTTAAATTGTTTTTTCTAATAATAATTTTCCTATAAAGATGTTTGGTTCACAAACATCAGTATGGCTTAGAGTGCAAACATTTATTTTACATGACATTGGTATACAGCTTGAATGTTGAATGCCTTATTCTCTCATGAATCACTGTTTTACCTTGTGACTTATTTCAACACCACTGCAAACAACTCATTTTTTCTGCTGCTCTCAATAGGCACTTCATTGAAACTTGCAGTTTGCCAACCTTAAGATAGCAGTATTTTAAGGAGCAATAACCCAAATTCTTGTGATTTGACTTTTACTGTCAAAACATGCCAAAAAAAATTCCTAACCTTCATGTGTTGAATTTAATGTTGAATTTAGCTGTTGCCTTTTAGTAAACTGAAAAATCTATTTACACCCATAGTAAAATATAATACATACAAAGCATGATAATGAAATTACCATATGAATTATGCTTTGTGAATTGGGAGCTGTGTACTGACAGTGATGTGTTCTCCCATATTGACATACTATGATGCAATGACACATGCGCACACACTAAGGTTAGCAAATAATTTCCGTACCTGGCCCTATTATTTTTAGTTTGTTAATGAATCATTTGGGGTATGAAACAGATAGTGATATTGCAATCTTCACTGATAAAACGGAGTTATGTGGGGTTATTCAAAATATACAATCTGATGTTAATGTAGTATTGCCTCTTTATAAATCATCATGAAAAAATAGGGTCAGCTTTGGCACCACATTATAAAAAGGACATTAGTGTTTTGGAGAGCATTCTGAGGCCGTCAAATAAATTAATAAACAATATGGAAAATCTTAAAATTAGGTTATGCCCAGTTTAGAATTATTGTATTTTAAATATATTGTTTTATTTTTAGCCAGCAATGGAAGCTCTTGGGTCATATTTGCTTGCAGCCTGTTAAAAAACCCTGTTGTTTACTAACCTTATTAACTCTTGTTGAGCTCTAGATACATAAGTACAAAACACATCCCATTGTCGGCCCCCTCATAATACTCTTTTCAAAAGTATCAGTCAGGCAAACAAAGCCTCAAAACATGGATGCATCTGCTGTGCTTTCTTTTTAGTTAACTCATAGGGGTCTATTCACTAAGCTGAGAACATGCACAGCATGTTCGGCCGACCCAAAGTGCAGAAGGAGTTTGACTCAGCCGATCCAACATCTGGATCGGCTAAGCCGAACCTCCAGAAGGCTACTCGCTGCTGTTCGGCCTATTCTCATAGATGCCGAACAGCAGTGAGTGAATAGCTGAATGCCACCGAGCCAAGCAGAATAGAAAAACAGTTTAAAAAAAGTAGTAAAAAATAAAATAGAAAATGATTGGGCGGGGCTAGCAGTGACAGCTAGCTCCGCCCAACTGTTTTCTATTGGCCAGGCGGTTCTGCTGCCGTCAGAATAAAAAAAATTAAAAGAAAATCACCATAGAAATGCATAGCTAGACTCCTATTGGCTATTTTACTTTGCTGTCAATCACCAGAGGGGGACCTGATGGAGAACTGCATGACCCCCTCTGCTGATTGATTTTATTCTGACGGCAGCCAACGGCTCCGATGTCAGAAGAAGAAAAAAAAACTAGCAGGGAAAGGTTTGGGAGAAAGTGTTTCTCTCCCGGGCGTCCGGGAGTCGTATTAGACTCCCAGAGCGTCCGGGAGAGTAATGACAGATGGCATTCCTGGTTACCAGGTAACCAGGAACTCCATCTGTCATTACACACTGAGAACACGGAGAGGCCGCTCTCAGTGTGTAATGACAGCGTCCCTGGTTAGCTGGTCTCTCTGAAAGTGGCCAGAGCCAGCCGTGAGATGGTGGCTGGCTCCGCCCAGCTGTCAGATGCAGGCTGTCGGCCGGCCAAAGCCGCTTGGCCAAGTTCGGGAGCTGTACGGGCTATAGTAAATAGCCCATACAGCAGCCCTTCGGTTCTCCTGAACCGAAGGGGTCCTGGGGCCGAAGCTAGCCGAAGGATCAGCCGAATTTCGTTCAGCACAAAACTAAATCGGACATGTGACTGTTCTCTGGCCAATCAGATGGGGGGGTTTTTTTGGCTGTTAGGGGGTTGCATTACAGACATGGCCATGTGACTTCCTATTGTCGATCTTTACGAAACAAAAATTCAGACGGATCGGAAATCGGAATAATTAACCTAATCACATTTTGGATCCAAAATCTGAAAAACAGAAGAAATAAAAATCTGAATTGATCTGAATGAAACTATTTTTTTGCGGGGATACATGTTTAATTTATACATAACACAAAATCAATATTTTAGTCAATGGCAGACTTAATTATAAAAAAAATCACAAAATCGGATAAATAAATATAAATTAAAATCATATACATCAAAAATTATTTGGTCTATTGGAACTGATTTCTCACAGAAATAAAACATTTAGGGGAGGAACTATTTGATGTTAGGTAATATTACATCTATAGTATATGAAAATAATTATAATGGTTACTGATACAAATACGATACATCCCAAATATCATTTAGCCCCTGTGGGATTCTAGTACATATCATAAATATCCAGAAAACCACCTTTTACATAATTGGAGTAATCACCTCCTTTTTATGAGGCTTAACCGTCTCAATAATTTGGATATGTAACATGACTCTTATTGAAATGTTTAGCTACATTAGTGGGATTATGTTTAACAATATCTCATAAATGATCATTTAAAGGATATGCTCTGGAAATCCTTTGTTGTGTATTACATGTTTATTCATAAAACAAGGACTGCATGTAGTAAAACAGATATAAATATACAAAAATACTAACTACAATGACCCAAGACCATTATATATTCCCTTAAGCTGTAGAATACTTGACATCATAAGGCAGTAATGGCAACAACCGTTATGGAGTTTAAAAAAGGACTGGATGATTTTCTTTCAACAAATAATATCCACAGTCATAACACTAAAGGGCAATATTTTGATCCAGCGATAGATCCAAATGTCCTTTGGGGGTCAGGAAGGAATATTCTTTCCTCCAAATGTATGGGAGGTTCTAGTTTGTCTTCTTCTGGATCAAAGCTGCCGGAGTTGTGAGAAAACATCAGTCTTTTTTTTATTAACAAGAATGTGGCTATGTCAGTTAACGTCAGTTTGATTTACTGAAGATTAAATATTAATACTAATATAATATTAATTAATCTTCTGTCTCTTGTAGTGAGCCACCTTTATGGGTTTGGTTTAATGGATGCTGAAGCAATGGTGATAGAAGCAGAAAAATGGACCCCAGTTCCTGCGCAACATATATGTGTGGAAAACACTGACCGGCAGATCAAGTAAGATTTTGTCACTTCTTTTATGTATTATATTCGCAATAATTCCGCTGTTCGGCTATTCACTTCAGGCTGGTACGGCTGATTCCAGCCGTATATAGGCTAAAATCAGCCGTACATCGAGTGGCTTCGGGTCGGCCGAACATGCTCTGCATGTTCGGCCGACCTGAAGTGCAGAAGGAGTTCGACTCAGCCGATCCAACATCTGGATCGGCTAAGCCGAACCTCCTGCAGGCTACTCGCTGCTATTTGGTCTATTCTTGCTGAGCGGCATTCGGCTTGGCTGTTCTGCTCGGTCCCTCTGTGGGACCGAGCAGAACAGAAAAATTGTTAAAAAAGTAGAAAAAAAAATAGAAAACGATTGTGCGGAGCTAGCAGTGACAGCTAGCTCCACCCAACTGTTTTCTATTGGCGGTTCTGCTGCCAGCAAAAAAAAAAAAAAAAATCCCCATAGGAAAGCATAGCTAGATTCCTATTGGCTATTTCACTTTGCAATAGCAAATAGCAAACTAGCTATTGCACCCGCACACTGATGCTTTCAATCACCAGACGGGGACCTGATGGAGAACTGCAGGTCCCCCTCTGCTGATTGACAGCAGCATTGGGCGGGTGCAATAGCTAGTTTGCTATTGACTATTGCAAATTGAAATAGTCAATCGAGCAGAGTGAACCTTCCTGGGAGAAAGTGTTTCTCTCCCGGGCGGCCGGGAGCATATGCCTTCGGCTCGACTGAGCCGCTCGGCCAGCTGTACGGTCTATAGGGAATAGCCCCTACAGCAGCCCTACTGAACCGAAGGGGTACTGGGGCCGAAGCTAGCCGAAGGATCAGCCAAAGCTACGGCTAGATCCTTTGGCAGCTTTGTGAATAGACCCCTATATTTTTTTAAATATAGTTATTGCCTGTTAATTTGTTTTATAAACTGGGCTGAATTAGAAATGCATCATAGTGCATCCATGTCTTTTTCCCAGCACTGGTATTTATTCTTTTTAAATAAGTATGATTTGTCAAACAAAGATAAAGCAAACAATGAAAATTGCATTAATTACAGAAGGTGTAGCAAGATTATGTGATGCGTGCTGCCATTATTGACAGTGAGAACACATCTAGCAAAAAATCTTTAAAGTCTTCACATTGTGCTTCTCTGTAGTATGTAGTGATTACATTACTTAGCACTGCAGTTACATACATCCAGACTAGTATCCTGTTCTTCATTGTGTTATTGTTTTTATTGTAATTATCACTGTACATTATGTGTTTTTTTTTTTTAAATTAGATCTATATTACAGGCATGATTTTGATGAATGGAACTCTTTTATCATACCAAAAATGCAAAACACAAGTTGACAATTGAATACAATACTAACTACCTTTAATTCACAGCAGTTGCACAACCTTAGTTACTGTGTACTCGGCCATGACAAACATGTAATACTTCAGTATGAGTGACTAAGTAATTGCATACAAGTAATTTACTTCAGTTTTTTCTGATGCTTAATTTTCCATAGGACAATCCGACCAGATCATGTTGTTCGTTCAGTATATAAAGCAACAGGCTGTGCCGACAATTCGAACCATCATGTTATTTATTTGGAGCATGTGGTTGTACGGATTACAATAACACACCCACGCAGAGGAGACCTGGCCATCTATCTGACCTCTCCTTCAGGCACTAGGTCACAATTACTAGCTAACAGGTAAGGGGCTAAATTCTCAAAGCTTTTTTTTTTCTCTTGCTCAGCTGTTATTTCCCCTATGCCCTAGCTACTTCATATCTCTTAAATCTCAGTTCACAAAGGTGCATAAAATGCCTTATTTAGCCTTGGTAAGTAGTGGTATTTTACCAGTACTGGGACTACTACAATGTCAGTGATACTTTATTGGCCCATATGAAAAAAGAAATGTAAAAGTTAATTCACAAAGAATACCATGTAGGTTATCACCCCTTAAAATAACACCAGCTGCAGGGTGGTGATAACTGGGAGTTTCAAAAGCTGTATATGGAGGAAAGCAGGAAAAAATGTTTAATGGGTGATAAAATAACACTTCACAAGATAAAAAAAATAATGATTTAGGAGAACACAAGGCTTTCCACAGATAAATGTTTATTTTATGTGCAAAGAAAAGGCAATAATAATATTCGTGAATTAAATATTTTAGGAGAACATTTTCATGAGATTAAATAAGTGCTGGTGTTTTAATAACTCATCCATCTTAGTAAACCAAGTCTAAGATGTTTTATAATAGAGACAATAAATGTGATTGCTTTGTTATCAATAGTTAATGTAACTGCAAGTTATTTATGTGAAAATAGTGATCCTATAAAGACAACTGTGTTATGACTTGTATGTGGCTTTTAATGCTTAAAGCTGAGCACTGGGCTCAAAAACCTTAATTTCAGTATATTCCTAAATACCTGCATTGGATATTAATCCACTTTATTTGCACCAAATGCCTTTGTAAATCCAGTTAGGCCTATGCAAACAGAGAGCAGAGCTTTAGGAGGGGCCCAGCAAGCCCACCAACTACAGGTTAGAGGGCAGAGACAAGACCAGTCACCCTACACAAGGAAAGAAAGTGCAGTGACTCCTCATTATTGCAAGAAATTTCTGTGCAGTTTCACCCTGTATTACTGCACAGATCAGGAAGAAATACACAACGCACACCAAGTTTCAAGTAAGAATACACATACATCTCATTTAGACAATATTTGTTTATTCCCAGAGTTTAGCTTTAAGGATGGCCATGGGTGCAGCAATAGTTTACTGCAAAGAAGTGTAACTATACCGCACTGCATCCTTGCTTGACAAATTAATCATGCAGTGTGAAATTATTGTATGGTATATTGCTAAAATTCAAGCTGAAAAGCTTATGATATTAGCTGTACAAACTCTAGGCCTGAATTGTACCTTTTCTTTAATTTTTCATCTGTACTTTGAGTCAAAACTTCTTTGACAGGAACAGCAGCAATATCTATTTCCAGTTACCCTTTTTATGACAATTTTCTTTCTAGCTGTCTTTGCATGTCTAGTACTCTGCTCAGTAAAATGTTGCAGTCTAGATTTATTGAATTCATGAAACTCCTGCAGCCACAAAAAGCAAAATCTTTTAATTTACTTTTACTAACAATAGTATGCCCATTCCAGAATGGGAGAGAGGAAGAGAAATTACTGCTGGTGGCAAAATCCCCCAGTGGCAAAACAAACTCTGTCTAAAGCATTATCTCAATCGGTGGGGGGCGGGGGCTAGTGTCCTAGGAGGATCTATGCCTTTACTCTATTTAATTAGAGAGTATACATCCATGTGCAAGCACCCGGACCTGCAGGTTCAGGTCGCTGTGTAGCCACATCTTCTCATAGGGATGTACAGCACCTTTACACACCGCACCTGTTACTCCTGAGCAGGTCTCTGCACAGGATTGCACATCGTATGGATGTGCGCACCCGTGTGAATAAGGCCTAAAACTGCTCAGAGTAGCTTACAATCTGAGCAAAGACCTTTACTAAAGAAACATCTAAAAGGTTAAAAAAATTACATTTTCTTTTAAAAACCCATTTAGGTATGTTGTGTGAATAGGAACACATAACACACATAAAGTGGGGTTTTCTCAAATTTGTCTGCGAAAGTGGAAATGCACTTCAAGGTTTTACCGACACTTGGAAGCTTTTTCCAAATCCCTGTTTTCACTAGAAGATCCTGCTGATTCTTAGCATTAGAATGCTTAGAGTGTATAGCTTCTGCTCTACACTATTGTGCGGATGAATTAGTCAACATCTTGTGGACAATTGCCAAGCAAATTAGCTCAGCTGGCAGTGTCTAGACCCAGGGAATGGTCCCTGCATCCAAATGTGTTCAGGGCCCGTGTGACAGATGGGGGACCACCAACAATAGGTTCAACACCAACTGCGTAAGTTTGGGTGAAGACGCGGAGATCCTAGAGATGAGCAAGTGGCATTGTGCGTTTAGTATGACCTGATCTACAGATTTTCTCCTTTGAAACCCTTTCCTTGCCAACTCTGCAGGATCGAGATGGAGGGCATTCTAGTGATCCTCATAGCTCCCAACTGGCCTAGGTGTATGTGGTACTTTGAGTTGATTGAACTAGTAGCACACACCCTGTGGGCTCTCCCAGTTGGTCTGGATCTCCTGTCTCATGCACTGGTTTACCACCCTGTTTCACAGTCTATGACTTTAATGTCATGACTGTTGAAGCCCTGGTCCCACCTCTGTTCACATGCTATTAAAACCTAGGATGTCTGCATCTCAAAAGCTTTACCATTGTACATAGAAGGCACATTTCAAGTGGTGCAAATAAAGACATACTTAATGGGACAAATTTTTACTTTTCTACAATCAGTCCTGGATCAGATTCTGACCCTGAATTCCATTAAGGGGCAAATCTTAGCACTTGTCATCTTGCTCCAAAGACTGCTAGCCTCTCTTCCATTAGATAAAACCGTTGTACAGGGTGTCACTTATGTAGCTCCTCTGTACAACCTGGTGTGACTCAACGTGCTTTTAACCTGCTTTTGAAAAACGTCCTTTTGAACCAGTTCTTCCTTTTCTTTGTCCAGCTCCAGCTCACCAGATTGAAATGTCAATGTCATTCTTGCTGTGCTTGTTTATCTCTCAGCCACTGCTTCTATCAGGAAAACTGATTCTCTTGTTGTCATTCCTTTTAGTCCCTGCAAAGTGGAATCAGCTCCTTGTTCCAACATTTCTAGGTGGCTCAGGCAGATTATTGTGCAAGCTTATAGTCTGAGGGGAAAGGGTCCAGCCTTTCAAGTCCAGACATGCTCTACCGGGTCTGTGAGTGCTTCCTGGACTTTAGGGCATTAAGCAATTACCAGGTGGATATTCAGGCCTCATCTGATGCGATCTGCAGGCATAAGGTCCTTCAAGCAGCTCTATGAGCTGCAGACAGCCCCCAGTTTTTACTGTTTTTTTTATGTGGACTTGTTAGCTTTCCATTTTTGTTTTGCCACCCCTTAATTGTGCTGCTTTGGGGAATTTTTGTACTTACTGTATAATTTACACAACACAGGTCCCAATTCTCTGATGTGATTAACTCCTTGTACTGTTTTTACAAAGCTGAAGCATTATGGTAGTGGAGGGGGTTATACCTACTACTACTTAATTGTGACAAAGGCCTATTGCTGAATTTCTTGTTTTTACAAGCTGTTTTTGTAGAAAGTGATGTGAATAAATACAGTATTGGACACCACTTAAAGCATTTCTACAGCTAACAGGTTACTGCAACTTTAAGTGTGTTGCATTTTAGATGGGCAGATTCTCTTGGAAACAGTGACTGACATTTGTCTAATGCAACGGTTATTCACAAATAAATTCAGGTAATTATAGCATAATAAACTTCACTCAACAAATCCTGGCATGACAATATATAAATATAGCATGTAGTGGTATTTGCATACCTATGCAGCAGTCGTAGAATAGCCTCTGATCTTTGTGCCAGCAGATAATAATTTTGGCCTGCCTAGGTCCATAATGAAAGTGATTGGTATGCAAGGAAGGCAGACAGATACATGTACTTATCTTTTTTGCAGCCGTCCTCATTGCGAGGAAATAATTAGTTCAGTGTCGGCAGTCAGCTGCAGGGAAAAAATAAACCATTACTTCGGAACACAACTTCCTCTTAGCATTTTGACAGGGTTAACTAGTAATAAGACCCAGGTTCCTCCACTTTTGGAAAGAAATGTCATGTGACTAGCCTTACATTTTTTAACCATTTTGGAAGTAAACCTCAAATAAAATATTCTGAGAAAGTACCACACTCTATAACCAAGGCAAATGCCAGGATTTAAATAAATAGCATACATGATATTTTTTGGCAGCTGAAAGTGTGTATTTATTTGTCTCTTGCCAGTAACAGATCATTGTGGTATGGCCTGACATTATACATGGACACATTCAACAATACAGTATATTTGAATCCAACTTTCCAATGTATTTCTTGATAATTAATTGTTTAGCTAAAACAATACAGATTGTGGTGTTAGTAGGGAAAGGACCAGCTTACCTTCCTATGTTAATTATTAGATTGGTTGGCACAAGCAGACGTACGTAGAAGTCAGTTACTATTACTGTATGAATCTGTCTTTTGTATACATAATATGTTTGACTACAAATATGCAAAACATGAATAGTTGAAAGGTTCATTTTATGTATTTTTAAAATGAGGGTCTTGCATATTTTGTTGGTGAAGTTAATTACTAAGAGGGGCATACACAATAAATGTGATATACACCAAACATCCAAACATTAAGTGGATGAGTCCCTTAAATTTAAAACACAAGTACCAGGAAGATACACCTTCAGTGAATGTTTGGGGAATATCAAATTTTTTGCTTCATCAATGTACCCCTTAGATTAGACGGACCTAGCAACCCCCTTCAGAGGCGTCACAAGGTGGGTGTGGCCCGCACAGGATGACACCACCAGAGGGGGTGGCACCAAAATGACTAACAGTCATTTTGGTGCCACCCCCTCTGAAAAGTCAAGCACTCAGTCATGGACCGAGAGCCCAACAGCTGCATGAGAGCAGAAGGGACCCAGCGGCATACCTTTTCCCACCGGATGAACGTCGACTCCTCTCTTTCCCGGCATCCATCACCAAGATGGGCGCCTGCAGTGAAGTGCATGTGACGTCATTACACTGGTGCATAATTACATCATATGT